TCCGCCATCGTCAAAAGATAATCTTCTTCTCGAGGAAAAGGTGGGAGTGGGGAAGGGTGCTCAGGAGAAAGAGCAATCTCCCCTCTTTCTGCATCACCATGGGCAGCAATGTGTATCAGGCTCACTGACTTCATCGATTGGAGTACAGAATGCTTTTTCGCGGAGTCTCCTATCAAAGGCGTTACCCCAAGAAGTCTTCCAATCATCTCTGCTTCCTTTCTTGCACACGACAATGGTGTTATATTTCTGAGCCTTCCCTTGTGAATCACCTTTCCAACCACAGGGTCACCCACTATCAGTGCCCCGGTCTGACTGTGATAGTCTGGAGGACTGTCTTGAACAAACTTGAGAGTCGTGAGAGAGGGAATCAGCCGAATCCTGCATGTCTCTGATAAATACTTGCCTCCTTCGTCAGCCAAGGCTGCAAATGGCACTTGGTACACACAGGAATCAGGGACAATTATGATCTCGGGCTGCTTCAGTAAACTGGCCACAGGAGCGATGATTATCTTGTAACACAAGTGAAGACTTGTTTTGAAATCTTCGGCATCATAGTCACGCAGGACTGAGCGGTTGTCGTAGTGAAGTGACATCAGTTCGGTGTCATCTAAAGATCGATCTTCGCATTTCTGTTCTGGTAAAATGGCGTAACTGCGGAAGGCTTCTTTAAAATACTCATCTAAATCAGGGACTATTCCGGTCACCTTGTTTTGGTCCAGGTTCACTTTCTTTTCTGAAAACTGAATTGCTCCCGTTTCTTTAATTATCCAAAACCGTACATCATTTTTACCAACCGAAATGTACAGGCATGAACAGTCTGCTTCTTTTGTGATGATCCCTTGAATGCCACACCAAGATAGTGGATCGCTTGAGATCTGCTCTTGAACAGAGTACTGAGTTGCCATCAAGTCGGCCAGGCCTTTTGCCCTTCTCAGCTCTTCGACGTAAAGGGCATCTTGCGTCTTTCCAGTGGAAGAAAGCAACCTACTGAACAAGTTGTAGGGAAAGGTGCCGTGCTTTTCTAAAAGAAATATTTGAAACTGATCGCTTTCTTTAAGAAAACCTCTCAAAGTTTCGAACTTTTGGATGCCTTGAAAAAGATACGAAGAAGCCTCTTCAAGATGACCTTGTGACACCTTTAACACCGATAGTTGACAAAGGCAGTAAAACTCGTGGAAGTTTTGTCCAATATCCTTACTTAATAGGAGAGCCTGCTTAATGTATTCTTCGGCCATGTCATATTTACCAAGCGATTGGAAACACAAACCTAAATTGTTGTAGTTGAGTACTACTCCTTCTCTCTCACCGATTTCCATGTCAATTGTAAGGGCTTTCTCAAAGTACTCCTGAGCCTTGTCATATTCACCACGCTTAAGAGAGATTAGACCAAGGTGTCTGTAATCTTTTGCTTCTCCGCTTCTATCAGCAATACACTTTCTAACTGCCATTGCCTTCTTAAGATAGTCGTCGGCCTTTGCATACTTGCCAAGTGAGAAAAACAAACTTGTGAGGTTTCCATA